CTTTTTTATCGCAGACCTGTGTTATTAAAAACCCTGGGACTGTGTATTTCATTTTTTTTTATATTTTTCCTTGCTTTTAACCGTTTGACTATTAGTTGTTTAAGAATTAAAAACTGCATTTTATAAAAGAAAAAATTTTCACTTACATTGAAGAACGCGGACTTTTAGAGCCACGATCCCTGCAAAGATAAGCATTTTCAAATTTCATTTCTAAGTATCTTTTTACTATGCGGTTTGTTGCTAAATTATGAATTTAGTAAAATAGCATCCCCAGTAGCTATTTTTCTAATCAATTTATTTAATTATTATTATGTATTAACGGGGTTGACATAATAATGCTCTTTTATTTAGTTAAATTAGTATTTGATATTTCTAATAGTTATAGGAACGGTAATTAAATTAAATACCTTGAAGCAGAGGAACCACTTCTAGATCTGACTTCAGCGTCTTGCTTCCACAAACTAAATGATTGTCTGTCATCCCAAGATAGAACCTCATATTGAGGAGATTTGTACACAATTTTTTGTATATTGCACTGTATCTTTTCCTAAATGTGACCAAAAGAAACCGTTGAAACTATTTTTAAAGTAATTAATCTCTTACTTTTATATTATTAGAATATTTGGTTTCGATCTATTTTAGTTTCAAAATGGATTTAAAAAAGTACCTTTACGGATACAATAAAATCCTTTGTTACAAAGGTCACTATAACATCCTTGCTAGCATTCGGTTTCAAATGACCAATAGTTGGGGTAAATTGCAACAAATCCATGCAAAGAAACTCAAACCTATATGTGTCGTTTTCAGAAAGATTCGTTATTTTAAATTTCTTTTTTTGCAACGTGTTGATAGGGGTATTGGAGAAATCTATTTCGTAATTCCTCATAGGCCAGACTTGTTTGCCAGTTATGCTCATCAAACTAGTGGTTTTTATCCATTCTTTAGATGGAGTTAAACCTTCAAAAACTACCCCGTCTTGGTATGTATCAGCGCATAATAAAATCTAAGAAAAAATTAACTAATGGACATGATACAAAAATAGGAAAATTGGGTAAAACGTACATTAAAGTACAATTCTTAGGCTTAAAAGTCATGACAGTTGTCTTCGTCCGAGGTGTAATGATTATCCTTGAAGTCTACCTTAAGTAGAGAAAAAACTAAAAATTTCAGGGCACAAGATCGGAGGCGTATGGAAAGTGTGAAATCAGTTCAAACTTCAGGATTTGCAGTCTCTTCAGTTGTGCGAGAGGTGTGTGGACGAGGATTACCTCTAAAACACCTCCGAGGTCAAATTTGTCATGTTAGAGGCAACTTAACGCCAATAGTCAAGTTTAAATCGATTCTACACCTTCCTTACTGCCCCGATCTTGCCCCGTGGGATTTTTATTTCTTTCTTTTATTCTAGAGAGTCCTCAAGGATAATTATTACACCTCAGACGATAAGGTGAATGCAACTGTCAAGTGTGGGATTCTTCAAAAGTCGAAAGAACTTTTTAATGGAAAAACTTGTTATACGTTAGCACGTATTACTCTTAACGATAAGTGTGTGTAAAGATACATATATGTATAATGTACCTTTTGCCAAGAAGTCATCAGATTTTGAAAGAATATTTTGGAAATTTAATGAGATTTTGTAAGGGTGGATTTTAAAAATATTTTTATATATTATAAATATATTACCAAGTGGTAAACTAATTTCCTATTATTATTATTATTAAGTTACCACATATTCTTCGTAAGGGTTGTCCACGAGATGGAGTTTAACAAATGCTGCAACATGCCCGCCGTCTTTAGCTTCATATACCGCAACAAATGTAGCAATATCATCGGGGTTTAGGTTTACCAAATTCGTATGTCTACTAGACTCTTTTACTACAACCACGAACAAGGAAGTTACATACAAAATTTAATGTGCTAACGTACATGGACACGTACCATCGTCTCCCCAAACGTTCAAATACTTTACAGTATTTTTCTCTGGTACAAGTGAAAACACTTTCGAATAATCGTCAGTTATCTCAAGTATAACAAAACAAGGGATAATTCCAACATTTTTAAAGGAGAAACGTTGTTCAACAACCTCTCCAACAAGCGAAGGTTCAAAATACAAAAGGTATCTGCTGTTTTCATTAGCAAAAGGAGGGTCTACAATCTTTATTTCGGGGGCAATTCCTTCACCGCAAAGTTCGAGTTCTATAACATTCTTTTGAAGAGGTGCCGAAATTTTGTTGTTAATTTGAAGGGACGATCTAAATTCCTAATTGACAAGTAATCAATTAATATGCTGGAAAATACTCTTAAACATGTCACATACTCCTACACCGTATGGGGTAAATGTTACATTGATGTACCCTACAGAATAAGGACGAACTGTTAACAGTTCAGGATCTACTCCAAATGCAGATTCCATGTCTGCAGTTACCGTTGACGAAACGTATCCGGGTACAGTCCCCCGATTTTCAATGGCAAGTCTAATGGTTACGCTTTTATTCATACAGGACGATTTAAAATGTAATTCGTTATCCTTTTTGGAGTAAATTGTATTTTGTAATAACTAAAAAGTGTTACCATGAATGTATACGTGTGAAATCCGTAAGTAATTATTGAATTTTTCTATTTTTACCGTTAGTCCACATGGAAGATTACCCAAACTTTCCACCATACAAATTTCTGTGAATATGTTTGCGATATTGTCAAAATTAATTTTTGGGGCACACGAGTCAGTTCTTACGATGAAAGGTCTTCCTGCCGAATATTTTGGGTGACTTTCAGATATGAAGAACAAAAACGAATGTTGCTGTAGACCGAGTTCTTTCGGTTTCGAAAATAAATTTATTGTAACCGACTCGTTTGGTTCAACGAAGCCGGTAGCTGAAATGACCGAAAATGGGCCAGAGTCCATTTTTGTTATTTTCATCTTTCTAAAGAAGTTGCGAGAAATTAACATGGTTAAATGGTTCAGAAGCATTAGATAATAAAATGGTACTTTTTCTTATCCGAATCTTTACTACTGGATTTACTTCCTTTCGATTTTGACTTTGAGTCCTTCGATTTGGACTTTGATTCTTTCGATTTGGTCTTTGATGCAGTTGATTTGCTCTTTGCGCCTGTTTTTGATTTTCCTTTTTTGCCCTTTTCTGCTTAAATAAAAAATTGTTTTATGAAAAGGGGACCTTCTTATCTATATGAGGCGCAAGATTATGCCCCCCTTAAGGCGCCAGTGATTAGCAAAATTTCGATAAATTGCTAGATAAAAACTATTTAAAAAAATACACGATAATTATTAATTAACAAAACAACGTAAGCACTCATCTTTTCCTTCGCTTTTCTTTCTTTGGCCAATTCGTCTAAATATTTTCGTAGACTGAGACATTTATAAGAAAATTCAAATTTTCCGATATTCGTTAACGTTACGGTTTGTACTTTATCAGTAGATATGAGTTGATGCCCGAAATCAACTTCGTTTGAAGGACAAAACTCAAATCTAAAAGCATAAACAGTTATTCGTTAATGTGTAAAATAATAACTTTAATTTGCTCTATCACCTTGAAGGTAAAATCTTTGCAGAAACGAGAACTTCGCTTTGTTCAACGACTTTCTTTGAAACTGGATCGGAAAATGTAACTCGGTAAATGGGAACATTTTCGAATTTCGATATTTTGGACGGTTTAAGTACTAATTTCAAATTGGATTTTTTATTAGGAACTATAGAACCAGACAAAGGAAGAATAGTGAACATTTTTCGAATTCTGGCATATCTTTTATTGGGATTTTCTTCCGGTTCTTCTATAGTTTCAATTCTGAAGAAAAAGATGGTTAAGAAATAGTCAATAATTATTGTTAATTCAATTTCATCGTTCAATGCCCACCTAAAATCTACATTATATTTTCCTTTATTAAGTACTTCTAATAATTGAAGGATTTCTACTTGGTATTTAATATCACCGTAATTTATTGTAAAATTGTATAAAAGCGGAACCTCTATTGATTCTGCCAATATAGTAACCCAGCCTTTAAAAAGGGGTTCTTCTAATTTAAAATCTTCATCGAAGACCTGTAAGAGTTGTGAAGTTAAGAAAATTATCTTCTACTTCCGCGAAATTCGATATTTTATACATCTGAATTTCTGAATCAGTAGGTACTGAATAAGTGATAGAGAGAGAAAATACGGAATACGTACTGAACAAGGACAAATGTTAAAGCATGTAATACTAAAAAACTGTGAGGGAACAAGGAAGAATAAGATAAAATGTTAACAAAACACATAGGAGGCTGCAAAACAAATACGCTAGTAAAACTGAAGGAAATAATGTTTGGAATGTAAGTAAAACTGAAGAAAAGTGGCAACAAAATAATTTACATAAAAGTAGAGAAAAAGAGCAGGAAATCAGAAGGTGCTATAGAAGTCAATAAGAAATGGGTGAGCTAGGCTGCTAGGGCACCTTCTCTGATATAAAGTACTAATAGAGCAGAGGTGGACTTAAGGTGACACAAATGGTGTACCCTACATCGGTTTCCCGACTGATGGGGACACACAAGTGACCCCGTATTCCAATTTAAATTTGTATAATATAAAAGCGCGGTAGGGTGTCGTAAGGTGACATATGTTTTGACGAAAAGGATTAATAATTTTGGTTTCGTTTTAACTAATTTTCAAATTTGAAGAAACTTCAAGTAAAAATTGAAAATAGGCGTTATTTAAGAATTTTATAATTTGTCTTTTATACTTTTATAAAAAAGAGCCCCAAAAAGACACGTGCATCGAGCCCCGAATGTCCTAGGTCCGTTACGTACTTAGAAATATATTAAAATCAGAGAGATGAGAAATAGAGTTGTAAGTAATTTCTGAGGAACGCGAAGATTAGCCCAGGATGGGAAGAAGTAAAGATAATGATGATGACGAACAGTTTTGTTACCTGAATTTCTATCGTTTGCTTGGGGATAACTTCAATTTTCAAAGGAGAATATTCCACTTCAATGGCATTTACCGAATTAGGAGGAACCACACCAGCGGTTGTTAAAAAACAGTAATTATCTGGTGTCGAACCGAAATCGGTGATTAACCAATTAACTGGTACTTCCGAATTATTAACCAGTAAAATCGGCAAAATATCGGTCGTGCCCACAACAGTATGAGCAAAATTAAGTTCTTTCGGGCTAATGGCTAATTGCATGTTAGCCTCGAAACATCTGAGTTGTATCGTTTCAATTTTCGGATTGTTCTTAATCGAAATCATCAACTCGTCATAGTTGAGTTGCTGCTTTTTTGAAGGCAACGCTGATATTTTAAGAATACCACTAGTGCCGCTTTCGATAGGCATACATTCTGGTTCAAAAATGAATACTTCACTGTTGAACTTTCGCGAGAAAAGCAAATTGCAAACCAGTGGACAATTGTTTGCAAAAGTGAATGCCGTTTCTCTTTCGAAAAGTCTACAAACAACAAGCAATGTGCATGAAAATTAAATCTTTCATCTTGTCAAATCAAATTAAGTTTTCTTGGTCACTTAATAAGTACTTTAAAATAAGAAAAGTATCGTAAAATGAAGGAATCTTCACAATTGTCCTAAATCATATCACTACATAGTATAAAACAAAGTCGCTTTCCCGCTGTCTGTCCCTATGTATGCCTAAATCTTTAAAACTGTGCAACGGATTTTGACACGGTTTTTTTTAAAAGATTCAAGTGATTCAAGAGGAAGGTTCATATGTATAATACATGCATAATGTAGTACGAAAACACTGATAATTTTAGAGGTTTCTAATGTGATGTCGTAAATAAACACATTTTTTACGCTTACATTGCAAACGTTGGCTGAACCCTACGAGATAGATCAAAATAATGTACTACAGTATTGTACATCTTAAAAGGGTCTACAAAAATGTCCCTGATGGTATATGTCTATCTCTTAGGGATAACCCACAATAACCATTTTTATCCTTTATTTTTTATGAGAATTGATGACTTTTTAGGAAACGATTGTAGGCAATACAGCATTAATTCTTATCCAATTAAGTACGTTAAATACATTGTGCATTTAATATAGATCAATATGGCCCTTTACAGCATGTAATTTAAATGAATATTTTCGATATTACAGATCTAAAATGCAGGGACATAGCGGTTGCGGCGGTACCGGCCGGGAGGCCGGTTTGTATTGTCTAATGACAAAAACACTGTGAATGTTGTATATAAAGACATTCTGTAGTATATTTAGTATGTTCAGGGGGTATCTTTTGAAAATTTCCCCTTTTCGATAATAATCTAAACAAAGCAAAAATATATTTAGTATCAGCATTGCACCCGTGCGAAGCTGGGGCGGGTCACTAGTATTTTATAAATAAAAAACCTATAATTAGTACCTGGGTTGTTCTGGGTCAATAGGCATGGGATTGAGGATGTAACCAAAGTCAAAAACGTTACGTTTTTCATTATAAACGCACGGCCAAAATTTATTTCTTTGGGTACGCAGCCTAACAACCGTCGGAAATACTACTGTTGGAGTCATGTCTATTTCCGGAATGCCACATAGTCCACAACACTCCAGAGTGAACTTTATTGGCCAAGTGGTCAATTCCACTTGAAATTGGTCGCCGTATTCGCCAACAACAGTTGGATAAAAAGTAACTTTGAACTTTATTTCACCGTCGGCTTGTAGAACGTTTCTAACACTTATGCTGGAAACTCTGTCTATTACAGAAATGAAGCCTAGCAAACAGGGAAAGATAGAAGGTAAAATGATTTAAAATTGCTCGTTCGGAAATATACTTTTTGATAAGCATCTTGATCTCGATGATGACTCGGACACTTTGCTATCACTCTCATCTTTCTTTTTTGCAGATTTCTTTTTCCCTTTCTGCGAAGAATTTGAACTTCTTTTGGAACTTGCACTTTTTTCCATGGAGCCACTTGTACTTTGTAAAGTTTCCTCCTGGAGTAATTACCATTTTCAAGTTATTATCAATTCAATAAAAAATATTGAATACCTTATCAAATTCGTTTCCCAGCAAGAAATCTTTCGGAGTGTGCCTAAATCTACTCTCAGATTTCTTGTGTAAGACAGAGAACGTTTTCGTTTCTTCTGGCAATTTCGGTTGTAACGATTCTTCTAATTGCTGAACAGCTTCCTTCACCTGGGGAGTGTGACTGAGAAACTCTACGATGTTTTCTTTAGGAAATTTCTTTGGGTGAACATCATTGAACAACCAAAAGGGCACGCCTAGTTACAATAACGAAGACATCCTCCTTTTAATAGATGCATAGTTTTATACCTATCATCAACTTAGGAATAAGATAGGGAGAAGAGGAATAGTGACGCATACGTAGGTACATGTTGTCAATTAGGGTAGAACAAATCTCCATGGATTTAACTGTAGTGTAAGTATGACAATACAGGGTTTGTCCGGAAAGTAATAGGACTGAGTCAATTAAAAAAAAAATTTGAGCCAATCGTTACAATTCTTTAAAAACTTTCAAAATAGGCTCCTTCTGCGTCGATGCAGCGCTGCCAGCGCGATTTCCAAGCATTGAAGGCGTCACGGAAGGCATTCTCCGGAATAGCATTAAGAGCCGCGGTGCATGCTGCTTGGATCCCCTCGGTCGTCTCAAAATGCTTGCCTTTCATCGGCCTTTTCAGGCGAGCAAACAAAAAAAATCCGGGGGGGCACATCTGGGCTGTAGGGCGGCTGCGGAAGCGTTGGGATGCCTGCCTTGGTCAGGTGGCTGTCCACAAGAAAGGCGGTGTGAGCCGGAGCGTTGTTGTGGTGCAACTTCCAGTCGGCTGCGATGTCTTGTCAGACCCGATTGACCCTTCCACTTCCACGTAAAAGTTGGCGTTGACGGTTTGTTCAAGAGGATCAAATTCATGGTGGACGATGCCTTTCATGTCAAAAAAGACAATGAGCATCGTTTTCACTTTGGATTTGCTCATTCTTCCCTTTTTTGGGCGAGGAGACGCCGGCGTGTGCCACTCGGAAGATTGACTCTTTGTCTCGGGATCTTACTAAAAGATCCATGACTCGTCACCTGTGATTACGTTATTCAAAAATTGGGGGTCACATTCACACATGTTTAAATTTTCGGCTTGCACCACACACAGAAACACGTCGCGCGAAAAAGCCTGTTCTGACTCTCCAGGTGCTCGGAGACAACTCACCAGCTGCTCGTTCGTTAGCTAGGAATGCCCTCTACCGAATCCAGTTGGTGCGCGCACGCTCCGAAGTACAGTCGCGGCGGAAGGAAATCAGTCCTATTACTTTCCGGACAAACCCTGTATTTTGATGTGCTGGGATATTCATTCCACAATGCTAAATTATAAATTTGTTTATAATGACAGTATACTCCATCCCTGTATTATTCCTAGTTATTTTTTAAATACAGAGCAGTTTCAGTAAAAAATGCTGAATTACCGATTTCTCTATGGAGTTGAATTTCTTCTTCAGTTAATTCTTCTAGTTTGATTTCCTTTATATTCACGCTGACCGCAGATGCAGGCGCTTGATCTTTCTTCTGTTTGCCACCTTTTTTCTTGGGAGCTTTAGGCGAGCCTTTCTTTTTTTTCTTGTCTGGCAATGGCTGTGTAGAGATGTTTTTTTTTTAGAAAAAATATTTTCGTAATACCTATAGTTGATTAATAAATAATCTTTTAAGAACCTTTATCAAGCGGCAGTTTCGTCGATCCCAATATTCAGCAATATGTAAAATATCAGACAAATCGGACTCGAATGCATCATAACTGTCTTTAATTTCTTTTTCTTCTGGACTTAAACCTAGCAAATAAACGAACGTAATAACAATAAGTTTTATTGTTTGAAGTGTGTAGATGAACCTTTCTTTTTGCCTTTACTTCCTTTGCTGCTTTTCGAACCTTTCGAACTTTTCTTGGAACTCTTTTTGGATCCAGATTTTGATTTGGATTGTTTTTTGTCTACCTTTTTCTTATCTGCTTTTCCTTTACCTTTTTTAGTTTCCAATTTTTCTCTGAAAGTTATTATTCCGATTTTATAGCCCATAAGAAAATCAATACATTCGGTGCAATATTTTACCTCAACTTTTGCTTTTTCTCTAAGCTTTTCAACTTTCTTAATGGCAAGACTTCCGTGCGATAAAGCTGGAGATCTTCAGGACTCAGCATTTCAATTTCTTCCGGCGTTAGTTGTTTTAATTTTAAAATTTTCTCCTGTTTTTGCTTCTCTTTCATTTCAAGTTCAATTTTCGCTTCCAGATCTGCAAGCGCTTTCATTTGAGCGTAAGTTTGTGAAAGAATCACAAACTGTATGTATCGGTAGTTTTCCACAGCGTTTAAAATAGAGTTGAGGGCGAGTACGGGCTTCCGAATGAAGATGCTTTGAAGACTTTCAATTATCACTCCAGTGGTAAAAGCTTCCAGCCGTAGCTTCAAAAGAGATTGTAAAAAGTCAATGGGAATACCGATGAATGTATCTCGTTTGTCCTTTTTCTTGCTTGCTTTTGAACTACCCTTGGAACTTGCTTTGGATTCAGAAGATTTACTTCCCTTCTTACTTCCCTTCTCACTTTCCTTCTTACTTCCCTTCTTACTTCCCGCTTTACTGTCCGCTTTACTTCCTTTTTTTGGAGGCTTCTTTTTTTGTTTCCCACTTAGCAACAATTCAATTTTTCTTTCCAGTTCATCATATTCGTCTGAGACAATCCGAAAAAATTATTTTACAAAGTGATTTACAAATGGGGTCGTAACCAGTGGCGTAGCTAAGGGGGGGCGGCGGGGGCGGCCCGCCCCGGGTGTCACCCGTTTGGGGTGACACCCCGAGCCCGACTATGACCATCAGTTATAGTTCTTTCTATCTATAAAAAATCGTAAATCTGTGGCAGAGAGCATAACCGCCACTAATAAAATTATCTAGGTAACTATAATATCGTACCACGAGCATACTAAATTTATATTTGGAAAAAAAAACAATGTGCACACTGTCAATCGATTAGGGATTCCCCCAAAATTTAATACCCCGTTCGCGCATAACCAAGTAATGATAGATAAGTAATAGAATGATAAGTAAAGATAGAACATCAAGCAACACAAAATATAAATTTTGAAGACGTGATTTCGGAGTTCGCTAGTGTCAAATCTAGAAGGAAGAAATTTTAATTTTTAACAAACTAAATTTGTTTCACATAATATACAAATATTTGTAATAGGTACTCGTATTTTAATAAAACGTAAATTATTATAAGTTTTTTATTTTAACAGTTTCGATTGAGTTTTGGGGTGACACCTATAAAATCCGCCCCTATGCTAGCTACGCCACTGGTCGTAACTGACCCTTATGGTATACTTTTACTTGAATTGAAGTAGGCATGTGTTATAGCCTTGCAACCACCAACGTTTGTAAAAGAAATAGTAATTTTGATAGGGATCAAATTTAAAAAGATTTAAGAAGAAACAAGCAGGTCCGTAATAAATAAATTGATATACCTTCGTCTTCTCGTCGTACCAAATCGATTTCTGACGCCACTTCACCAAACGCTTTACTGATCAATTCATTAACAGAAATGCCTGCCAAACTGTCGCTGTACAGAATACTTTCAATAAGTAACTTATCGATACTATACACCGGTAAATTCAGCTTTTTCCCTACTGCCCCAGCAGCTTCTGCATTACCTACGATATATACCATGTAACCAATAAAAGGTTTCTTTGCTATACCAGTGTGCAAGTGAAAACGACCATTCGTACCATTAAAATACAATAACTACGCTGATAATTTTACAGACGATGTTTCAAAAATGTTGGATATCACACCACGTCCACCCCTAAAACTTAGGTCACCTGCGACTGATCCCATTGTGAGCAAAGGTGGTAGAAAAATATGTGTGGTAGAGATTCACGACAGTGTCGCAAAAATTCGAGAACTGGAAATTCCAAGAAAATTTAATTGAACATTCTCGGCGCCCTTATGACTTCACCCCGGCGCTCCGGGTAGCCGCGGCGCACATTTTGGGAATGACTGTTCTAGGGGATCTTACTCTCCTCCTAGAAGAAACTGTTAGCGGTGACTTCAGACACTGTGTTCTGATTAAGTCTATCTCAATCTCGTGTCTATTTGGGTCCTACTGGATAAACCGCAAGGTAGAAATTAAAGGTAATCCCCAAGGTACGGAATAGTCCTAAATAGTTATTCATGTTTCTGAAGGTGATCTATTATCCTTTCTTTCCTTTTTCATTGTCCACGAATCATTGATTTAAAAATTGAAATAATCGAATTCTATTTATTTCTCACAACATTTTTGAAACACCACGTACATCTACATGGTTCATATTTATTGATTCGGTATGTTACAACGTACTTGTAGAAGGTGCACCATGGAAAATTAACATAACACCTTCCTTCATATCAGTAGGATCTACTGGTTCCGGAGGATAAGCTTCATTAAATGCTCTTTCAAGAGGATCTTCTGTTATAAATGCATCAATAGAGTTTTCTCGAATTTTCTGTTTTAAGTGAGCTATAATTGGGAATTATGTCTTAAAATTAATGTACAAAAAATCTTTTTTGTTTCTCACTTTTTATCATTGTTTGTAGTTCGTCGAATGTCTTTTCGGATAAAGGATCGACCGAGCGCTTATCGGAAATACTACAGAGCAAAATATAAAAAGAATTAAAAGTCATATCTAACCAAAATATCCTGCCAAAATTGAGTTTAGGACTTCCCAAATTGACCCAACTTTACCTTAAATGGGCCGATAAAGTTCTTCTAGAAGACTTTGCTTCCATTTCAGGTTTAACTGATATTGTTTCAAGCGACGAATGTGCAGTTGCCGATCTCCTCATCATTGATAAAGCTTCTCTTAAACTCTGCAAGACTTTGTAATAAAGTTCGTAGAATCCTGTAGGAAGCCGGGTGCCTGCTTCGGCTGAAGGAATTAATATCCTGTCGGTATTGTAATATTCTACAATCAGATTCCCAACGGCTTCCTCCTCGTCACATAAACTAAAATTATTATTATTTAAACTTTGAACGGTATCCTCCGTTTTGAAGACGCTCACGTATCGAAATCAGTAAAGAAAAATTCTAAAGCAAATGGGGACGGATTTTTTATGGTAAAGAACTTTTCGTATTTAGGCTGATAAGGCGGACACGGTTCAAAAATGGTTTTTTGATCTATTATCTCAATTTTCGGCTCCATTCCAACACCTTTCAACACAATATTTATTTCTTCGGGATTTTGTTGAATTGTGATGACCAAAGTAGCTTGAACCTTGCCTGCCCATTGGGGTTCGAAATAAATGGGCAGTAAACAACCGTCTCCTGGATCCAAGCAACCGCTTGTGTTACCCAAATAGAAGTTTGGTACTTTCCAAAATTGTTCTATCCAATTACCTTTTTTCGGCCGTCCAAGTTTAATTTTCGCGTTCCAAACGCTAGTGACGTAACCTCTAACGTGTGATCAAAATAAGGTACAATTTTTTTTGGATTAACATATTTTAATGTGGGATACCTATTTCTTAAGGCAATAGTTTTCATTAAACACTTTCCGCAGGCTATGTTGCCAAATTGCAAATTAGTATGGTAAACTGCTAGAGACGGAACAACCACCATAGCTTGAACTAGTACCGGAATTCTAAGGCCATACCCCACCTTTAAGAGTGATAATAAGATATATAAACTAGTATTTTAAATATAATTAAAATGAAAAACTCAGGCACATATACACGAAGAGCATTCCGAGGTACCATGATAGTAATTTTTTGAAAGTAACATCACCAAATTATGCCAGTGTTAGTTTTTATATGAGTTTTCTCGAAATTCATTACAAATATTGTTATAAGCGAATGCCGCAGGCGATCGATACAGCCGCGTCTTTAATGCACCCGAAAGCATACATTATACAACGGACTAAATTGACACGGCAATAAGAATTTACGGGAAGTTTTCGGAAATAATCAAAATATTCTATAAGCCTCTCCAAGAAATAGGTTGTAGATATATATGCGCCTGTAGAAATACTTTTTACGAATAAAATTAATTGTACATGTATACTTGCCTCAACACAAAATGATCGAATGATATCATAATTTGGAACTGGAAAGTATTTTAACGTTGGAGAAAATATTATATACAATTGCGTTGTTCTTCCTTCCGGCAAGCTTTCACTTTTAAACTGAATTGTTATGCCAGCTTCTTCTAACTCGCGTTTTTTAGGCAGAAATAAGCGAACATTGGTCTGGCCAGGACCGTAATTGAAAATCGATATCGTTCGATCCACGATTGTTTCACGTATCACATATCCCAGGTCGATCTGGTACGGGGGAACGCGACAATTCTTGAACAATCCAGATTTTATGGGCTTCGATAAAATCGCGGGGTTGTACTGGAGATAATCGTGTAGAATTACACGCTCCACAGCCAAATCCAAATCAAGGACAGATGGATAGAGGTCCTACGGTTTCGAAGAAAAACATATTTTACAGGATAGTCACTGGAAGATATACCTCTGGAAGTAGCTTGTCGTGTTGGGAAACAATTACAACAGATTTTCAATCAAAGTTAAACATAGATAAATAATCTAGGGTAAGAATATTCACTTTTAATTATAGTTTTTCGAATTGCAATATTTAATCATCAATCTCTCCCGTTAGATCTGCTACTACGTTATCATTTTGTACCTGATAAGATATCAAAGACCATCCGTCTTGAATCAATTTCCTTTTAATTGCTTTGGACATCGTGTCGTTTATTTTTATATCCTCCACATATTTGTAAATATTTCCAATTGTCGTTACAGTTTTTAAATATTCGTTTGTAAATGATGCCGCTGCCGAATAAAGAACGATAGGACTAACCAAGTTTAAACTCGACCGAGGAGTGTTTAAAAATATTTGAGGGAAAACACCAAAACCGTGCAATGTTACTATAACAGACGGTTCCAGATTTATCTGAAAATTAAAATTCGAAGAGGACAGCAATTTGAGTAAATGTTCGACACCGGTCCGCCTCCCCCAAACAGGGTGCTTACTTCGAAGACAATTTCTTCTTTAAACTCTCCGGGAATTCCAGGATAATAACTCACTGTTAATTCCATTGAACAACTTGGCTCTATGGTTCCTGAAGGCGGTTGGACATTCAACCACCCCACTTTGTATACGGGAGGGGCAGATGGTGAATTATCTGAGTTAGTGTAATAAATAATATCAATTGTCCCTGTGTTTGTTAGCCAAATGGTTCTTTCGGACACTTCAAAGAATTTCTGTAAAATTGTACTATTTATTTCTTCTTATCGTTTTACCAATATGGTATTTAGTTGAACATATGCACAAGGTCGGTGAGGATCTAGATTTCGAACTCTTTGGTTCTCATCAGCACGTCAGAAAAATCTATTTGCTGACATTAAAAAATGTTCAACGAATAACTACAAACGGCACGGTAAACGTCATGTGCAAAAATTTACTAGTAATTGTACTACGCCGTTTGCAGTTATTCATATTTAGTTCTTACCACTCTTCCAAATTCAATTTTTTTTGTACTAAAACAATACTCAACGACGTCACAGCTACCACTGATAGCAAGTTCTTCGGTTGCTCCGCCTTGTACGTAAAAATTAGCCGTTGCAAAAATGTTAATATTAGTTTTTGGATGAAATGTAACAGTAACGATTGCACTTTCGTAAGGCTCCAAAAATCCACGATTAGGAACAATATCGATTGTTTCATTAATCAAATTCTCTTGTCTGTCCCCTATTTTCTCTTCTTCTAAAGGTAAATACTGAATAGCATCAATGTTAACGTCATCAGAATGAAAATCGGCGACTATCGGATACAACAACGTATGGATTTTGTCAAAATATTCTTCGTTTAATGGTGGCATTTCAATGACGTCCTCGATACAAGTGGGAAAATAAATGACTTCTTTGAGAACCACGTGATAATACTGTGGTAAAATTTCTTTTGCTAAAGAAAATGTCACTCTTTCGATTGGTAAATTATTTAACGTCGACGAATCAACTTCTTGTACCGATTTGTTTTCTGATATTGTTTGCTTAGCGGTTGTTTCTTCTGAAACAACTGAACTTCTCCTGCTGATTGTTTCGTCGATTGTATCCTCTAAGCAAATCTTTTAAACAAATAAACTTTTTGATTCAAAATTTAGGTCTTAAAGGAATCAAATGAAAGTGACTGACCTCCTTACTCTTCTCTTCCCTTTTTAAATCTGCTACAATATTCCATTGCGTCCAATAATTAACTGGCAAGGGACTTACATTTTTCACAAGTATTTCTTGTTTCAAATTTCCATATGATGATAAACATTTGAAAGTAATACTGTTAGTACTCAACGATATATTTGGATAGGCCACGGAGCCAATTAAATGAACTTTGTCCTATAAAAGTATTATTCTTTACGACACGAGAACATTTGTTTATTAATTAATTGATATGTTACAAATAACGGATGATCCACGTATTTGAATTTTAAATCGCCCTCTTTAAAATAGCACCTTCTACCAGTTACAACAGGTTTGAAACCGACCACTACTTCATCCGTTTCTTCATCATCCAAACATATTTTGTAGGACAATTGCGGCTTTGTGTCATTAACAAGCAAATAAAAAGGTTGGGGAACGGTAACATTTATTTCCAGGGGTAACGTGGACAAATTCTTTATAACAATTATTTCTAAAACGAGAAAAAGACGTAGGGAGAACAAGGGGAACTTTATCAAGGGTTTCGGAGCTTTCCAAAATTTTTTTTCTACCGATAGTAATTTGTTTAATCCGTTCAAATTCGGACCGAATTAATTAACAGATGACAACCTTAATCGCCATCTATTTATATATTGATGTAACTTTAAAAATTAGTATTTTATTACCTAGTAAAGAACTCTCAACGCCGTCAGGAGAAACGTGTATATAAAAGTCAATGTTCTTTTTCGATATTTCAAGCACGGGATCTACAAATTTTGCAGTCAAAATGAAACTAATAATGATCTTTTTGTTCTTTTCGTTTTGCAGTATGGCATGACAATAAAAGTCTTCATTTATGGTATCGGGTGTCTTTGAAGATCCTTCCAGTTTTGCTACTATTCCATCTTGAGGATCCAAATCAAAGGCATTGGGTTCAAATTGGAACGCCGACCTAAAATATTACTCTTATCGAAGTTCTTCAAAATAAAATTGGCATCAATTTTACGGTATAATCATATTCGGGAGTTCTTTTAAGTTTTTCAAGAATTTGTTACGGGACCACAATATCTTATGAGATTTGTTTCCTTTATTTGTGAATAGCACATCGAGTGATACTTTTTTATGAGTGAAATGCGTTCCTATATCGAATTCGGGCCATATTTTCGGTTGACAAAGTATCATGGTTCCAACCCCAGTAGCAGAAATAGTCGGAGTTATAACTTCGCCATTTTGTATATCTATACTTAAAGTGTCTTTGTAAGTCTTTGGTATCGTTAAATAGGCCGATATGGTTAAACTAATGGTCGAGTTTGCCGAAATTTCCACTTCAGCAGGATTCACTTCGAATACAGACTTTTTGGATTGCTGAAAGTTTCCGGTAATGTTACCATTGAAAAAAAACGCGTAAAATCAAAGAAAAATCCTCGTACCCTAAATAATATCTAAACATCGCTTTAGTTATACAGGGCAAAGAAGTCAAACATTGAAAAGAAAGATTTTAGCTAATTAATTGATTTGATCGTAACAAACTTTTCATTTTAAGGTACGGAATTCTAAAAAAAGGAAAGGTGGACAAACCATTTGAGCCGAAATAAAAGTTGGCACGGGAGAATCGTTTATCACAAGTAACTCTTGCTGTGCTACTTCTAACAGGGGAATTTTCCCGAAGTTTAAGTTTTCAGGCTCCACTTCCACAACTGGACCCTGACCCAGACAAGTAATCGTACAAATTTCAATGGGATTGTCACCAAACAAAGTTGCCCTACAGCAAGGTTGTAATTAAGAAAATTGTTCTCTTAGATAAGCTTTCTAAAGTCTAAATTATATATATAAGAGCTTTTGAACTTTACACCTGTTGCTTTATTCCTAATAATGTCTTGCTATCATTTGAAACGGTTTAGCGTTGATAGCGTCGACACTTACCAAATTTTGAGTTAATTTGTTTTATACATAAATTAATGCTAGCTAAATATACCAATACGATTGTTTCAAGCTAATAGAAAAAGTTGTGTAGAAATAACGATGACTATGAATGTTTTGTGTGTTATTCTTAAGAAATATACCAAACAAGAAGCTTGTTTTCTCCAATGGTCGTGGTACTGATTGTGAATTCCAAAGTTACTACCGAACTGGGTTTAATAATGGTTCGTGTAATTGAACTTGTACACTCAACATTGCCATCTTCATTCTATAAACAATAAATGATGGATCCTTACTTTTATTGTATAAGGATTGCGAACAATACATTACATTACATTTCGTAATGCATTATCGTTTAATTACTCTTTACTTTCATAATGGAAATGAAAATATACTCCATTTACCATTACTTTTGTAATAGTTAATGAGTAGTGGTAAAATGTACATTAATCATGACTTTTATAATGAGTAATGCAACCAATTAACAGAAACTATAACATCTGTATTGAGTAATCGAAATATTTTTCATTAACTATTAGTTTTGTAATGAATATGTGCCTACATATGCATACCTCAAGTGGTAATAAATAAAAATATCCATAAAGTTCTGACTTATTTTCCAATTGAATTGTTCTTTTGTAAACAATGTTTATAAAACAAAAGGAAATTTTAACTTCTGAAGGAACCACCTCCAAAACGGGGACTTGTGACAAATAGTTTACAAGCAAAAATTTCACGTGATCATTGCTTTTCCACATTCTAACGATCAACTTCATGGTGAAATTACCTCTTTTGTTTGATATAAGAGTTATCTAAAATTATCTGAATGATAACCTTAGTGGCTAATTAAAACTTATTATTTCACTTGCCTTTACTTTATCAACCGACGTGGCATCTACAATTCCCTCTGAGGGTTCTATAATAAAATTTTTTGGGCGCCTTGGTGGCTCCGGCGACTCCATGTCGACCACATCGCAAATACTGAGTGGCTTTTCGAAACCGTCGTCTTCTACTTCCAATTCATATTCAATAGCAATTTTAGCAGTATTAATGAGTTTTAGTTCGCGATGTACGGGATAGCCTTGTGATGATAATTAAACAATTAATACGGTGCAGTTAAAAATTAATACGTAATTTCTCACCAAATGAAACTGTACCAAATTCTATAGAAGATACGTTGAAGTCTAATAGTGGGCAGAATATTTCACCCCTTAAAAAATAACAATTAAGAAGATGAACAGCCCGATTTAGATAAAGATTAAAGATTTCACGGAAGGTTTAGATCTCTCGTTATTCAATAAGTTTTTAATATTAAAAATATTCAATGCAATTAATTAAATAATTTAAATTTTATGAGACTATTTCTTGCACAAAACCTTTGTTTTAAAAATTACCTATTATATTATAACTACTTAATCGTCATCACACACTNAATAGTAGCTTACCAATAGAGAGTATTTCAGCGAATTTTGTGTTATGGTACTGATTGGCTCAAAATGATTACCACGGAGTGACAGTTCCAGTTTGGGAAATAAAAAGAACTGACAGAACCAAATTGGTTCTTCCTCCTTAAAGATCCTCACAATAGCTGCCCTTCACGAGAGTGCGTTTCATTGTGCATAGTCCATGAACTCTACTCCGCTGGAGCAAGATTCTGATGATTCAGCAACAAAATATAACTCTTACATAAATGACTATTCTCTTAAATATTTTGTAGTTTTCTCTTTTTACATTAAGTACCGATGCTCTTACAAAGGCGGGAAATTGCATTTTGAGTGTTATAACAGGTCCAAATTTTATAATAAGTTGGTACCTATAAGGCTGCCTGGCTGTTGTTTGACTTAGGAAATTTCTTACCGACTTTTCGTCTGCAACTACTGTGAGACTTAATTCAGTGGTAGCGAATTGGTCGTCCTAATCAAAGTTATCCAAGAAATTACGTGGTCGTGGACCGCATCATCTTGTAGTCAGAGCTGGTTGAACATTCACATGGACACTGCTCCATGGTGAGCTAATCCTCGCATTTACTTAAAACTAGAATCTCTTACAAAATTACGATGTTTACTTAAGGCCTTAAATAAAGTATTTTTGCGTACTTAATGTGTCTTGTAAAATATAACGTACGCACAGTCGAAATAGAGCACAATACTTTATAATAAAGTATGGGTGGCAACCCTAGCTACAACCTACGCGAAGAGCTCTTCCGCATTGCTACTAAGTTTAAGTAAATAAACTGTTTTTGCGACTTACATTAAAGCCACTGTTAAAATATCTCCCGATTCTTCAATTTTAAACATAACTTCTTCAACAAACTTTCCCTCCTCGTCGCTACTAAACTGCATTATTATCATCTTAACCTGTTTATGCTTTAATTCAATTCGGTTAGGATGGCAGCAAATCCTACCCCCAAAATTAGTAATATGTGGTATCCAAGTGACGGTGCCGTTTATAAACCCTTCAATTTATGTTTGTATCATATAAATTTAATAATAAACAGAAAAGTTCTCACCGAGATTAGTGAATGTGATATCGTATTCGTGGATACGCCGCATATAAATGCGATTGACGTTTAACGATTCAGCACAGAGGACAATATTAGGACCTAGTCCATTACCTTCAAGCATTAGAGGCAACCTAGTGTCTAATCCCAGCACGTCACAAAACGCAACAGTTTTAAACAAATGTTTCTTGTCAGGAAAAAAAAGTGCTGTTAACTCTATCGACGATTTGGGCCAAATTTCTCCTTCCTTTAAACCATTATTCATAAAAAAAGTTTATTATCTGCATTAATTTAAAATGATTCGCTACTAAAAAAACTGATTTGGAATGGACCTTCAAGGTGGACATATAGGGTGTACGTATATATTATTCCTTTAAAATAAAAGGGGCTTTTGGAACATTACTATCACTAGTAATCGAATATATCGATATACCGATAACTATCGATGGTTCAGTTGCTATTATTGTGGGTCTCTTTTTTACGAGTCCGTTGAGATAAATGAGCATATTAAATATTGACTTACAGAAGGTATGATTTGAAAATTAGGATGTGAGAAATTAAAGTGCTCCTCATCTTCATACTCTTCCACTTCGTCTTTGTAAATTCTTTCGTAAATTAACGAATGTCCATGGCTGTCAACCACATCATACTCTTCTAATTTTGTGGACCTATACGATTCAAAAACTTTCATGCTATTATAAGCTTCTTTCATTTTCTTAGATTCTTCAATATCTTCATGAAATTCACTCTTTTTCCATTTAAATGACACTGTTTGTTCTCCGTCGTTGTACAGGCGAAACGTTTTGTAACTCTTCATTGTCATATACGTGTCGTCAAAGTAAATTGAAGATTTCTCTAAGTGTACTTGTATTTTATAGACGTGGCCGTCTAATTTAACAGCTAATTTTTCGCCAGTTTCGTATGTTATCACTAAAAGACTTTCCGCGTGCTGGACAGTCCACGGTTTAAATGATATTTTAAGGCAAAACATTTTCCCTGGTTCTACCGCGCATTGTTCTGGTTGTACATAAAATGGAGGCTCGGTTTTTAAAGTAATCTTAGCAGACGCTAAACCCAAATTTGTCACAAATAGGTGATGATCAGATGGTATCCTAACAGCCGTTTTCGGAACAGTTACTTCATCTGGTAAATCCAAAACTGGTCTATGACACAGGGCTGTGTAAGAGTGTGAAAAAGGGTCAAAAAGGTCATTAATGTTATATCAACCTACGAATTTGAGTAACTTAGAATATCTACTGAAAATTAAACTAAACAAACAAAGAATGTCGAAAAAGCAGATGTGAATTGCCTGTTGTTTTCAAATAAAATCTCAGCACAAAGGCGGATTTGAGGTGATGCAAACGATAAAGTTAATAATTTAATGTAAAGTTATGGGATATTTAGGAATTTTTAGTTTGACTTTTATTTTTTTATGAATGGTACCCCCCAAAAATACAAATGTTCAAGATCCAACACGGGGTTAAATCACTTTTAATTTGTATGATTTAAAAACACGGCAGGGTGTCGTAAGGTGACTTATGCTTTGACAAAAATGTGTTTCTGTGAAATTGAATCAAATCTTTCACAAGTTCAATTCATTCTTAATCAATTTCTAAATTTGCAAACGCAAAATTTCGCTCTTTTTAGTGATTCAAGCCAATTTTAAATTGTTTGATGTAAAAGCTCGGCAAGGTGTCGTAAAGTGATTTGTGTTTTATCGGAGATGTGTTTCTGTGAAACTGAATGAAATTTTTCACAATTTCAGCCCCTTTTTAACTACCAATTTTCAAATTTGGACTCAAGAAATTTCGCTTTTTATAGTAGTTCAACCAGAGGTGGGTCTAAATGCAGCAGCGTTTCGTAAAATAGGTAATACTTTGCAATGGAAAATTAAAACTGAACCCCTAAGAACTTATGCATCGGGACGCAAAGGTCACTGCTTTAGCCCATAAAAATTAAATTAAACTTTAATCGTTAAAACATATTTTTGCGAATTATAACCGATGAACGTTTAGATCGTTAATTTTAGTCATCTTCAGGCTAAAGCTTCTTTAAGTATTAACTAATAGTGTTATTGAAACTTTTCCTTTTCGTAATCTAAACCTAAAAATTTGTCGATAGTCTTTCACAGATTCAAATTTAAAATTAGAATTTGAAATTTCAGAGTTGAATTTGTAAGAAACAATTTATTTTAAAAATTGAATTTTAATCATACCGATAAACCTAAATTCTTATTACCAATAAATTAAATTAAAACAAAATTNATGAATCTTTTAATTTTCTAATTTCTCTAAAATACTTTTGAAAAATCAAATTAATATTACTAGCTTACCTATTACTGGTATTTTAATACTTTCGGCTTCGGTAATAAAAGTTAATTGATAATAATAGTCGTGCATTTCTTCAGCACAAAACTTTACAGTGTAATGTTGACTCATACCGGGGGCAACTTTAGTTGTGTACATGCTCGAAGAAACAGTCACTGTAAAGTACCCTGAAGGTTCGCTAATATTTTTCAGCGGTTTCGAGATCTTAAATAAATAGTCCACAACGTTTAAATAACCGCATGTCATTTACTTATGGTAGGAACATACTTCGCAATTGTTTAAAAATGATAACGTTGCACAATAACTTATTCCAGGGGTGAAGTTTTGGAAAATAATAACGTGCGGGACAACTGTGAACGTGTTCAATTGCAATTCACAAATAGGTTTGGGCCTGTAAACGGTTTTGCTCAATTTTACAATTCTCTCTTCAAGTGATAATAACATTTCGGTTTTAAACGCCGATGGTTTAATCTAAAAGTGGGTGCGTTTATTGAATTTATTAAAAGCAACGAGATGTGTGCAATTATTTGAAAGTTTCGGTTGAACTTACATATTTTTCGTTCTCATAATCAGCATCAAAAAACGCGCATAATACGCTTAAAATATCTAAATTAACAGAAGCTGGTTTTTGAAGGATCTCTGGAAAATCCATTCTTTCAATTAACTCAAATAAAAACGAGTAATGACAAGTGACATTAAAGTTGTTAGTATTTTATTAAAAAAAAAGAAAAAAAACGGTAGTCAAAAACTTTTGGAAAAAATGTTATTTACCATCTGTATAAAAAATACAGGAAAAGGTAAACCTACGTCAATCATTGAAATTTACGTGACCTTATACGTAGTATCAGAGCTTTGTAAGCTCGTTTTGTGAATTACCTTGTGCTTTAGAAACACAAAAGCGATTTTGCTGCCTGTCTATTGTGATTTGCAATTGTAAGTAGCTGTCACGTTGAAGAAGTTACAATTTTATGTTTTTTTCTTTTGAAAATCTATGTACTACTACCAAATTTGTCATACTTTTTTAACTAGAATTTAACTATTAAGAGTACATGAATGTGCTTTAAAAGCATATAAGCGCAATTTATTTTGCAGTTTAACGTTAAATTCTTAGCCATTTTCGTATACTAGAAACAATAACTTCGTTATTTCAACTCCTCTACAAAATTGATTGTACTGTTGAAAACTTCGAACTTTTCGCCATAAAATAAAGCTTTTAATATTGCTTAAATTATTTTTTTTTTAGTTTTCTGAAATGAGCGGGCAATTTCACTGCATCGCTGTTTAGTAATTTTAAATAGTTTTCATTTAGTTAGGTGTTTGAAATCCGACATAAAATTTTATTTACATCACCTAAAGTATTGAGCTTTTAAAGCTCTCAAAATGAATCCCTTTATGTTACTGAAAAGCAAGCGTAATTTAGGAATTTTAAATTGTTTACATTTAAGCTGTTCTCTACAATTATCTTATTTAAAATCTGTTTAAAGATCTATTTGTACAACCTAAATTGCCATAATTTTTTACAAAGTTTTGAGCTTTATAAACTCTAAAATTAACTTCTTTGTGTTTCTAAAATGTGAGCGCAATTTTCGCTATAGTAACTAGTTTTTCCCCCCTATCAGTCACTGTGAGCTCGAAGCGCCATTGCTTCGAGAGGTCTTTATAGACTTTTGTGACCATTTTGTTTAATCATTTTCTTTGTGTTAAAAATTGTTTGAAAAACGTTTTAATTCTAATTATTTATATTCATACGCTTGAAAGCATTAACATCAGTGACAACAATAGTTAGAGAGCAATAGTTGGACTTTGCCATAATTATATATACATATNTACGTTTATTCGTATTGTCAATAGTCGGCCATTTTTATTGCTCCATTATGACGTACTGTCGGCCATCATTCTTTTCTAATTGTTGCTGTTGTCGGCCATCATTCTTTTTCAATTGTTGTCGCATTGTTATCGATGTCGGCCATTATGGATTTTTCATAGATGTATAGTAATTAATGATTTAAATTTAAAGGAATTGTTTGTAAATAGGTATGCAACACATCGTACACTTCAACATAAGAAAATTGCTGGTACTTTCATTTCTGTAATACTACTTTGCCCTGTGCTATCAATTTCTTTTAAATACTTATATTTTAAGTAGTTTTGAGAATAAGCAGCCCCCATTAACTTTATTTCGAATTGGTTTCAAGATCCAATTACACCACCCAAATTAACATAGTTTTGTACATAATTTTTAGCTTTTATACATAACGTTTAGCTGTTAATGGTACGTTATTGAAATTAGAGCGCAATAAGGCCCATCAAAATTTTAATTTACAACATTTTAGCTTTCATAGATACTTTATTTCTAAGGGGGTTTTAAAGATTATGAAAATAAACACAAACTTTTAAAATTCGAGCGCAATGTTTTAATTTGCAGAAAAGTTTAATTTCATTATTACAACCATACAGAAAACACTAAAGTAATATGTGCAACACTGGTTTATTCAATTAAATAATTCATTTATTGAAATAATTACAAAATAAAAATATATTAATGTACAAAAGTTCTAAAACATACTTTTTCCTAAATAAAGGGTTTGCACAGGGCAATAGAATGATCGAATCCACAACTCACATCCTTTACAAGTCCAGACACAGAAACCTTCAAAAATCAAGACAGATAAATGTAAGTATATACAAGGTGGCCTCAAACAAAAGCTCTTGTGCGTAATGAAGAAGCATATCAAATGCATACTATAAGAAAACATTTACCCTAAATGGAAAAGGCTGATCTTTATCGTGTCCCATGCCAAGACATCCACTTCTGTTTCGCCCCCACATATACAAATTACCATAATTAGAAATGGCAGCTGCATGTCCTATACCAGCTTTAATTTTGATAACTTTACTGTCTGTCTGAAATTCATTTTTGCCAAATAAGATTTCAGGTAATAGAACTGGTTTTTTTGAATACTGAACTTTTGGACCAGCTCCTAAAAGGCCGTATCCCCAAGAGAATACTTGGCCATCCTCTAAGGAATATTACGAATTAAATAAAGAGACTAAAACCTCTACGAACTTTTTTATATTACCATTTAAAATAAGACAAAACGATCCCCCTGCAGCTATATCCACTATTTTTCCAAGACCTTTACATTTTTCAATAAATGTAGCATTACAAACTTGTTGTAAATCGTTAGGGGTATCTAACTGTGCATACTCTGTATTTCCCCATCCGAAAACTTCCCCTTTGTCTTTAAAAATATTATCAATAAATTAAAAAAAGGTTCTCAAAGGCGAATAAGATATTTACCATTTATAGCTAAAACGAAATCGGACCTTCCAGAAACTTTTACTATATTTTCGTTTGCTATATCACCCAAAACACGTGTAAAGCGCGATTCTGAATTAAAATGACCCAGACCCGTTTGCCCATCAGCACCCCAACCACAAGAGTACACTTGACCACTTTCAGTTAAAATTAAACTAAAACATGAAGTGAATATTATTACCTGAATTTATTTTTTAAAGAAATCTTAAAAGCTTCCTTAGCAAGGATAGTTATTAAGTATGGAAATTATAAACTGTCTTAATTTTACACCCTATAAGTGTAAAAGGGGGGCTCCTAGATCATAGTCAAACATATTTTTTAGCAAAGTTTGTGTAAGAAATAAAGGGATGGCGACCAAGAAAATGTTTTTAATATACTAACTTTTCAATTGGGGAATGTCCCTATTTATACATGTACTTAATAGCAACTCGGAAGAACTGTTTGCGAAGGTCGCACTTATCAAATAAAGTATCATGCAGGGCTAAAGCTTATGTGGTTTTAAAAATATTGAAAGAGTTCACCATGACACTGTCCAAATGACTAACAGTATAAGGATGTTTTGAGGAAAATCATTTATAATTAATATTAGTAGAAAACACCTTAATTTATATAAACTTTACAAGAAGTAGTAGAATGCTTCTATTTTCCCTATTTATACTATTATGTAATAGATGACTGCCAAATAACAGTATGAGATAAAAGTTCATATAGACAAACATTCAAAATAAAAGTTAAAAAATTAGTAAAATTCCGGCAAATTAATACCTATGATCTTGTCCACATTCAACGTCCTTTATTGTATCGTCAACATTACTAATTTTATGGACATAATGGCTATTACTGTAATCTTCATCAGTTATTATCATTCTACCACATTGACCGTAGGCATTATTTCCAAAAGTAAATAACCCTTCACTGGTTAACACTAAAGTATGTGCTCTCCCAGCTGCAATTTTATTAATTCGCGTTTTCTTTTCTTTTAGTGGTAAATGGATGGCCACTGGAGAAAATATTATTTCAAGAGGTTTGTTCTCACGAATTGCATGGTAACCTATTTGAGAATCTGAATTAATACCTGTACCATACAACCTACTATTATCATTATTTGGATTTACAGAAAATATGCTAAAGCCAAAACCACATGCAACATTTGTGACCTAAAACAGCAGTTTTTGTTAAATAGAAACATTGTATGATACTGATACTACCTCATGATTTTCAGCGAAAAAAAGTCGCTTAGGATACTTAATGGGTGAAATTTTGTGAAATTTTTCTTCTTCTTTTTTCTGGGGGACAGCCAGAGCCCCAGTTTCTCTACAGCCCCACACAAAGATTCTGTTATATGATGCTTTACTAATCCCATACCCAAAAACTAAAAGGACCGTCGATTCTGTTAGGTATTCGTAGTAATTATGAGATTAAATACCTGGCAGTTTCTTTGCATCTTCAGGATTTACAGGATATTTTCTTTTTACAGCATAACCTCTAATTTGGTTAAAAAATTGTTTCCTAATGCACATAGTCTTTTTATATTATTGCAGTTCAAAAGCAAATTGGTAGACGTTGGCTAGGTGTAAGTAAAACTGGTCTAATATTAAATGCTAACATTAATATTTATTTCTAGTACATTCAGTTTACACTAATTTATAGGTTATGTTTAAATTTTTACAGGTTAGATTACAACTTTTTTGAATTTACACTGAAATGTTTTAATAGAAGCGTATAATATCCATTTAAATTTCCATATAAGCTAAGTTTTATTGGGATGTTTTTCAAAGGGTTGAAGATCGCTTTTAAAGTTACGAAGGGGGCCCTTTTGTAATCAGTTTTATATGGTGGATCAGTTATGTACATTACCCAAGTACGACTTTGATGTAAAGGTAGATAATGTTTTGTTAAATAATTACTTAAATCATATTGAAGAGAAATACATTTCCAAAGATGGTATCTTGAATTTAAAAGAAGAGAAACTAAAACCTGTTTTACATCTACTGCTTCAAAAAAAAGACGTTATTAATGACTTAAAGAACCTTAAAGAACTGCTTCAGGATGATGACAATGATCTTAAACAACTAGCTGAAACAGAAAGACAAGTACTTGAAGAAAAGTTAAGAGCCATTGGTAATGAAATTATTAAAGCCTTATTAGCTATGCATGGGGAGCACCAGTGCAATGCTATCATATTAGAAGTAAATGCTGGTGTTGGTGGTCAAGAGGCAATGATGTTTGCTAGTGAATTATTCAATATGTATGTCCATTTTTCTGAATACAAAGGTTGGACTTTTGAAGTAACTGAGTATACTGCAACAGACATAGAAGGCTGCCGACATGCATGTGCTATGATAGAAGGGGATTCAGTTTACAACAATTTAATACATGAGGCGGGGGTTCACAGGGTACAACGTATACCGATTACTGAGAAATCAGGGCGCATCCACACCAGTACAGCTTCAGTTTTAATATTACCACAACCAAATGAAATACAAATCCAAATTAATAACAGCGATTTGAAGATAGAGACTAAAAGGGCGACTGGGGCAGGCGGTCAACACGTCAATACAACCGACAGTGCAGTAAGGATAACACATTTACCAACTGGTATCAGCACTGAATGCCAAATTGATAGATCTCAAATAAAAAATCGCCGAATTGCCATGCAAAAACTGAGAACTTTACTCTATAATCAACAATTGGATAAACAACTTGCAGAAATAGAGAAAACCAAGAAAACTCAAGTGAAATCAAATTTTCGAAACGAAAGAATAAGAACTTATAATTTCAGTCAAGATCGAATAACTGACCATAGGCTACAAGGGTGCAATTACCACAACATTAAAGCGTTCCTTGGTGGAGGAGAACAGTTAGAAAGTTTAATAACAAAATTAGACAATAGTAATAAATTACAGAGGCTGTTAGAAACTATTGATAAATTTAAAACCAGCTGATTTATATTAATTAATGATAGTTAAAAATAGTTATAAGAATATACAATTTAATTAGAAAATTGTGATTTAATTGCACTGATTTAGATAGTAAGTGTTGGAAAGATAATTGATTAAAATTCTTCATGAACAAATTTTATTAAATAATATTAATTAAACACTTCTA